TTTTTAACAATTAGGGTTCCCTAAACTTTTCTCCAATTTTCAGTGTGTTTTTATGATTTTTACTATGTTTGTCCATGTTTTCTGCTACTTGGTTCATCATGCTAAAAGCCCTAAGTGTTTTGGCTCTACCTGGGCTTCTAAAACTCTCTTGGTTTATTTTATTCGCAGGTTTGATTCGATTAAGTTCTTTGCGGTTGAATCTTTTTGTCTTGTTTGACTTATCTGATTCTGAGTTCTTACCATCTTTTAAACTCGACTATTGTTGAAACCCTAATTTCGTAAAAGGTTTTCCTCACTTGTTACTATGAGACCTTTACTCGTTTCTGACACTCTTGCCTATTACTATGTTCTTCTTCACTTTTGATTCTATGTGACTGCTTGACCTACTTGACCACCGTACTTCGAATAGGTCTCTTTTACTAATGAACCCTAGCTTACCCCTACTGCTATTGTATGTTTGTGTTGCTTCTTTTTGTCGACATGTTTAACCCTGCATGCTTGTTCATTCCTTGCTATTTATAGGCTGAGGTGCAGAATCATGATCCTTTCTTGATTGATTTCGACCCCCTCAATGTTGCGACTGATTGCAAAAGGTTTTCTTATGAACCCTAATTTTATTCGTTTGTTTAAATTGATTGATTTCCTTCCGTTAATTACTGTGATGTTTTACCTTGAATCTTTTCCCAAAATTAAGCATATTTTTGTACTTAGACTCAGTCATTTACTTCATACTTTAACTGCCCCCTTATATGGCAATAATTAATCTGTCCCCAAACTGATTTCTTTTCTTAATTAAACTTGTTAGTATCTGTTAAGCAGTGATTCCTTAATTAAAGGGAATCACTTGTGTTAATTGATTCTGATTGTGATTATTTCCATGTTTGTGTTGAAACATTACTTATTACCTTATTCTTCACTTGTTTTCAAAACTATAAATACCCTACCCTCTCTTCTTTTAAACAGACGGACAATTTTAAGTTCAGAACCCACACTTACACTCAAAAAAACTCCTTCTTTCTTTACTACTACTTGTGCTATTGCTTTGTCTAGCCGGCTGAACGCCAAGGCTAGACTGTGGAATCTTGCTTACTTTACCTTTCTGCACTTTGCTTCTCTACTGGTATGTCCTAGTTAGTTTTTTAAGTCTCAACAACAACATGCTTCTTTAAGTTGCTTCAGCTTCTCATTCTTGTCTACCTCTTCTTATGTTTCTGCAGTCATGTTACACTACTAGCATGCTGTGATATGTTCCCTTCCCCTTTTAAGTTAATGCTTCCCTATATGTGTAATCTGTCAGTCACTTGTCGTGTACTTGCTACCTTATGAATCCCAAAACCCCATATCCCCTATATGTGTTTGTGTTCCTTTGGATGGTTTGTGGCCATGCCAGCATTAGCTATTGTTGTGCATGACGAAACCAGATCCCTGCTGGGGTCATGCAATGTATCCCCACAATCCCTTGCCCCTTTGAATGACTACTGATTCTGTGTAGTTTGAGTTTCACTACTACAACTGTTTTCAAATCACCCTTACCACCTACTATTTCCAACCCAGTTTTAATGAATCCCTTTCAAAGTATGTTCTGCACTTCCACTATACTCTTAGAATCTAGGTTCTGCCCCTCTTGGGTGAGCCTTGCCTTGGGACCCTTGAGCTCCCTCTGATCTTGGACACATATAGGTTGGCCCTTCCACACTGCACTCATTCTGTTTGGTTATGCAAATCTGGGTATGAGCACTGCCCGGGATCCCTCGAGGTCCTTAGGGAACTCTGACACACCCATTTATGAGAAAAGCTTTGAAACATTGGCATTGAAGTGATTAATTACATAACTCAGACAGGAAGTCAAGATCAGGCTTCCTATGGTTGTAGCTTCTTGTTTTCTTTCATTTCTTCTTTTGTAATTCAGTCACACGGTTGTAGCTTCTTGTTTTCTTTCATTTCTTCTTTTGTAATTCAGTCACACGGTTTGTAATAACTTGTAAACATTATGGGGTTGGCTAGTGAAAAAGGCTGGAAAATATGCATGTTTTAGCTATTAAAAGGGTAGATAACATGCCTATAGGGTCTTTTTGCTTCAAATATGGTCCGTTAGATAACATGCCTATAGGATCTGTTCTAGTTTAAAATAAATTATGCATGCTTCACTTTCACACAATTAGAAATCATATCTATAGAACATGAATGGCTTTAATAATAGATGACATGCCTATAGGGTTAAAAATCAGCTTTACATAGGGATGGCAAACGGTGCGGGCGGGACGGGGCGGGGCGATTTTTCAGCATTCGCGAGGCGGGGCGGGTTACAATGTATGCGGGGCGGGGCCTAATTTTTTTTTAAAATTAACACGGGGCGATGCTGGTCGTGGGTTTTTTAAAAACCTAAATCTTGAACTAAAGTCTTAAACGCTACCAGCCTACCAGATCCTTAATCTTGAACTAAAACCTTAATACAGTCACGACTCACGCTGTCACGCACAGGCCACAGCGCACTCAGCCCGTCGGCCGTCGCCGGAGTGCCTCCCATCAGCCTTCCGTCAGCCCTCACCGACTCTCTTACAGACTGTAAGTTACAGTAAGCCATCTGTGATCTGCCTTTTGTAGCCATGGCAGACTTGCCCATTTTCTGATGGTTTTTGGACAAATCTGATCCTCATTTCTGTTAAACTTTGAATTCCTTCTACAATCTATCTGCTCTTATTTTACTATATTCGAACTTTGAGTGACATGACTGCTACATTTTACTATATTCAAATATTGGTTTGTTGGCTAAATCAATGTCTCGCCTAGGCTTGCATACATGGCCTTCCAAGCCCAAGAGTTTCTGTTACTAGCATTACTTAGGTTGTGGATTCATAAGAAAGGTGAATAATTTATTCACTGATTTTGTTGACCCTATCAAGTTCTTTTAGTGTTAAGGTAGTTAAATTCTTTGTTTCCTTAATTCGGTGTTGTACGATATATGATCAGGTTTTTTTAGGACTTTTAACTGTTAGTTATAGCTGCAGTCTTATGTTCCTGAACTCTTTGGTGTACAGAATAAGATAAAGTTCTTTATAAGAATCATAAGATAATGTTAAAGATTTTTTCTCACTGTTTCTCTAGCTTTCTTTTAGTTAGCCAATACCAACTTCATCTCTTGCTTTTATCTTTATTTTTGTAGAAAAGTATGGAGTCTCAAGGGGAACAAAATCCAATGTGTTCATCTTCAAGTACAATTCCTATTGAGATTGAGAGTCGAGGGCTTATGCAGTCTGATGAAGTTATTATGGAAGTTGTTGATGAAACAGGTAAAAGAAAACTTAGTTCTGATGCATGGAAACATTACAATGTGGTGAAGCTTGATGGTGCTCGCTTTGGTGTTTGTAAGTATTGTAACACTCGTATCAAATCAACAAGAAAATGTGGGACATCATCTTTATGGGATCATATTCGTAGATGTCGTAAGAAGCCAAGTAACTTAGAGACGGGGGTTGGTGGGGGTGATGATGGTAGCCAACAACATTATTTTGATCAAGATGTTTCACGTAGGGAACTTGCTCATGCCATCATTTTGCATGAATACCCTTTTTCGATTGTCGATCATGTTGGATGTAGGAAGTTTGTTGCTAGTCTTCAGCCATTGTTTAAAATAGTGTCTAGGAACACAATCAAGAATGATATTTTGAAGATTTTTGACAATTTGAAATAAAAAACTTCTAAGTTGTTGGAAAAACTCACAAGTAAAATTGCAATAACAATTGATATATGGACTTCAAACAATACAAAAAAAGGGTTCATGGCTATTACGACACATTTTATTGATGATTCATGGAGGCTTCAAAGACATATTCTTAGATTTATTTATGTTCCTGCTCCACATGATAAGGATACTTTGTGTAGTGTGTTGCCTAATTGCCTGTTAGAGTGGAATCTTGAAAGAAGAATATGAACAATTACAGTTGATAATTCTAGTACAAACAATGCTATGATGAAAATCTTGTTAGATGAGAAACTTTGTAAGAGGGATTTATTGTTGATGGGTCGAATGTTGCATGTGCGTTGCGCCGCACACATCTTAAATTTGATTGTGCAAGAAGGATTAAAGGTGATAGAAGATGGTGTTAGTAATGTGCGTAACAGTGTCTTTTATTGGATAGCATCTTTAGGCAGAATTGAAAGGTTCGAAGAAGCTGCACGGTTGCTACATATCTCCTGTACTAAAAAGTTGGAGTATGATTGCCCTACTCGTTGGAACTCAACATATCTTATGTTGAGAACAGCTCTAGATTACAAAGAGGTGTTTACAAAGTTGAGTTTAACTGACACCAATTATCGTTGTTTTCCAACCGAAGGGCAATGGAGTGCAGCACATGAAGTTTGTGAAAAGTTACAGCTGTTTCACCGTATCACTGAACAATTCTCAGGGAGTCAATATCCAACATCAACTCAATACTTTTCAAAAGTTTGTGATATTAAGCTAGAATTGGAAGCTTGGGTGAGAAGTTTAAATCCTTTGATTAGCTCTATGGCATCATCAATGTTGTTGAAATTTAAAAAATATTGGGATGATATGCATATTTTGATGGGGGTAGCTACTATCTTTGATCCGAGATTTAAGATGAAGTTGGTTGAGTTCTATCTTGCACAAACTTATGGTGAAGAAGCTTCACATAAAATTCAAGAAGTTCGAAACCATTGTTTTGATCTCTTTCAAGAGTATACGAGCAGAGTGGTTGCTTCACATGAGTCATTTCAAGCATCTAATTCTAATAAAGTTGCTGGTATTGTTGAGGGTGATCGACTGTCTAGTTTCGATAGGTTTGTCGCTTCGAGTAGCGCGAATGTGGACCCAAGATCGGAGTTGGAGTCATATATAGAAGAAGGGGTGCTACCTCGTACGCCATCATTTGACAGTTTAAGCTGGTGGAAGACAAACAAATTAAAATTTCCTACTTTGCAAAAGATAGCTCGTGACCTCTTAGCCATTCCTGTCTCTACCGTTGCTTCAGAATCGGCCTTTAGCACTAGTGGGAGATTGATTAGCCCGCATCGTAGTAGACTTCATCCTACTACTTTGGAGGCTTTGATGTGTGCTCGCACTTGGTTATGGAACGAGATAAATGGTAAGTAACTTTTTTATGATTTACTATGTTAATAATAGTATTCACTTTCTTATACTATTATACTTTTTTTTAGGTTCGTGTTCAAGCATTGATAGAGTTTCATGTCCGACGATGCTTGATGAAGAAGAAGACCCAGATGTTTCAGTTGCTTGATAACTGAAGGAAGTCGGAGTTGCATTATTTCTGATGAAGAAGAAGATCCTAATGTTTCAATTTTTGCTTTGTGGTAACAGACTAATCAGAGTTCTCATTTAGTATTATTTCTGCTGCGACTGGTTTGTGTATCTACTTTATTAAGATGTTCGTTTTCCATTTGCTAAGTTGGTGTCTGCATTTGTGTTTCTTTTAACTTGGTCACAAAAATAGTTTGTTGATCTAGTTATATGCTTTTTCTGAAAACTTAAAAAACAGTGTGATTTTATCTTCGAATCCTTCTGAAAAGACTTGAACTCCATTGACCTTCTTGATAAAGATGTGTATTTCCATTAATAATGTTTTCCTATAAAACTGAAATATGTATGGCGTTCAACAAAGACATATTTTCATGGTTAAGAAATCCACATAACTAGTCATCACTGTCCATGTTACTTTATTTAAGTTTTTCTCAACTAAATATTTATAAAACATACATTAAAAATGACAACAACAACAAAAAAAAAGAATTACAGAAGCTGAGTGCAGGGAAGGGGAGCTATTCAATTATTCATGACATACGTTGGGAGCAGTAGAAACTGGAATTTTACCTGGTTTATGGACAGAGTTCAAAGAAAATTACCTGGTTTACTAGATCAGAATAAAAAAATTAAAAAAAAATATATATGCGGGGCGGGGCGGGGCGGTTAAAACAGAAAATTTTGTTTGCGGGGCGTGGCGGGTTGGAGTCTTCGCGGGTGTGCCCCGCAACCGCACCGCCCCGCACCGTTTGCCATCCCTAGCTTTACAATTATATATCATGCCTATAGGATATAAAGTAATTGAAGCTCAATTTTCGTTACAGCATGTATCCAAACTCGTTTCCCTTAGAAATCATGCCTATAAGTCCAAAGTCAGTTTTTTTAGATACCATGCCTATAGGATCTAAATAGCTATCAACGAAATCATGCCTATAGAACTTAAAAACAGTTTAGTTGGAGAAGCCGTCTAGTTCATGTCGAATTGGATTAGTTAATTAATCTGTCGCTCCTTTAATAAGTTTCTCAAACACTGCCTTAATACCGTTAGAAAACATATCTATGGGATCTCAAGTTGTCTGCTTAAAATTAATCACTGCTCTACTGCATTCCTAATCCATATAGATATCATGCTCATAGGCTATCATTATTACGCCTAGGCAAGCCTCAGGTAATAATAAACACCGGAACCACCTCTGTTTAGTTATCAATTGCTACAACCAACAGGCGGGCCTGATTCAGGCTTCTTATCTGAGTTATATAATGAACCTGGTTCTGACTCAAATTCCCTGCTTTAGGATTTTTAAAATTCAGACCTTAACTGTGTTTAAGTCGTGCTACTTATATGCATTATTTGCGGAGGTTTATATGAGCCTTCTAATTTCTTACATGCTTCCCCTTTAAATGCAGTCCTATGTGTTTTTGTATGTCGACTTAGTCTTTTTACCTTTAAACCTAAAAGTCAACCTAAAATCCTCCCTCTTATAGGAATAGTAGTCCTAAAATTCCTCGGGGACTGATAGGAATGGGACGGGTAATAGCACGCAATAGAGGTCGAGACCAATCCGCGCTTTAATACCTTCACGGGGTGGGAAGGGTAGATATGGATATGATGACCGATGCGCTAATACCACGTGTAGCCCCTCTTTTGAGGAGTGATTATCGGGTATTGCATTGACGTGATCCATATTACAAACAAACCTAGGACCTATTTACATTCATCAACATGCTTAGATTATAACTCTTTTTCAAAACCTCGCTTTTATTGTTTTTTTATAAACAAACACTTGTGTATTTAGATTTAAAAATCCCCTTATTATTTGAGCCTTATTTGATTACTTGCTAATTGCACAAATTCACAAAAACTATCTGGCCGGGAACCATACTAGTGGATCTTGAGGGGTGCCTAACACCTTCCCCTTGGGATAATTTCAAGCCCTTACCCTATCTCTGGCTATCAAACATAGTTGTAGTTGAATCCTATAGGTGCCCTAACGCACCTTAAAAATCGTTAGGTGGCAACTCTTCAAAATTGCAAAACCCCTTTCCCAAAAGGAAAGAGTTGTCCCAACCAAATGTCATAAACCCGATTTCGCGAGAAAAAAGGGGGTGCGATAGCATGGCGACTCTGCTAGGGACTTTTAGGCTTTTACCATTTCAGATTATTCTTGTGAATTTGTACCTCTCCCATGTGCAATTATCTGTTTAATTCCTTTAAGCATTTAATTTCTTCTTTAAAAGCAAAACTGACATATCTTCCTTGCTTTCTTTCCTTTATTGATTTAAATTATGAAACTACTGTATTTATCGCTTTCTTAATGTGCAAATACATGTCAACATGCTTTTAATTATTGCATAATCATGGTCAACATCATACTCCACTCGTGCCAAAATAAATACTATAGCAACGCTTATAATGAGTGGTTGCGCTCTTCCTATATCATTTTTCCCTAAATTCGGAAAGGCATATTTGCGGCAAAACTAGTCGATCAGCGGTGTAGTCGACAGTTCCGAGCCTTCCCCCTTGAGTTGTCCGCTCAAGGGTACCAGTCTAAAACCCCATAGAAACCTTACTCTGTTCAAATTGTGCATGCATCATGGTCAAACCTAGCCGGATCAGTTATGATGTCCACATAATGATCCTTTAAGATAGCCTTGTCCAAAAAGTCCACTGGGTTTCCCTAAACCCAAAACGGACGTCGTCACACTCTGTGCATTTATTTGGAGAACTAAATGCTTCATGCTAATTGTTGATATTAAATAGTCGAGTCTGGCGGGGGTAAGGGCCTAACCTTGTTTGCCTTGCAGAAATATGAGGCACGAAGTCCCCAGATTCGACATGGTCACCAAAATCCACCCAAGATTGCTGAGTTGGTGGGAAGATCTGCATTCTAGTGACAAAATCTCAAAAGGGTTGAAGACATTCAAAAGCCTGAAGGGACCGAAGGTGGATATCTAGCCAGATCATACATGTTGCTGGGACTTCGCAAATTGGGGAAGCTGTTCGACGGAGCCAGGGATGCCGAGTCTGGGGAAGGTCCTTCTGGGACCAAATAGGAGTTTACCTTTTTCGCTTTATGAATGTAATAAGGCCAATGGCCATTAGTGACTTTTATTTCTTGCTTATCTAATGTCGTTTTGGGATTCGCCTATTTTTTTATCAATAAAATGAGGCATTTAGCATTCTAAATTCTCCAAATCAATTTGTCGCTAGGCCTACCTCGGGCACAAAAGAGGTTCCCCAAATTAGGACACGCTTTACATTCCCACACTATGTGTTTAAATATTGCAATACTTTTTATAATCCTCACTGACTTGATTACCTTTTGTTTTATTTTTGTTTTATTTTTTTATTATTATTTATTCCCCTCCCCCCCCCCCCCCCAAAAAAGGTTAGTTCGTGCACTCTAGAATCATCATCTTACTTCACAAGATCCAGAGGGGCACACCTCAGCAATTGGACCATCAGGACCACCAGAGCCCGACGAGCCTCGGGGTAGCAAGGCTAAAACAAGCAATATTCACTGTTTTATTTACTGAATGATTTTCTTTTCGCATTTTTCAATTTCCGCAATAAGATCTTCAATGTTCAAAATAATTATTCAATTTATCAAAGCATGTTTGATTTTTCCAATGAATTAATATTTATTTCTATCGTTTTCCTCCTTACTTTACCAATACAACATTACTATTACTTATCTTGATGAACCAATGACTATGACATGCAATGAGACAACGCAACAAACGGACATTGATTCAGAAGAAGATGACATACCTGATGAGATTGTCAAAGAAGTTGAGAACTTTGAGAACAGACCTATGTCCAACCCGGACGAGACCGAGATTATTAACCTGGGAAATGCAGAAAACGTCAAGGAAACACGAATCAGCATTTACCTATCGCCATCAGAAAAGAAAGAATACACAGAGTTTCTAAAGGAGTATGAGGACATATTCACCTGGTCGTATGATGACATGACCGGTCTGAGTACGTCTATTGTGGCTCACAAACTGCCAACCGATCCAATGTGTCCACGGGTAAAGCAAAAGCTCAGAAACTTCAAGCCTGATATGAGTCTGAGAATCAAGGAAAAAGTCACCAAGCAGATCAAAGCTAAGGTTCTCAGGGTGGTTGAGTACCCGACATAGTTAGCCAACATTGTGCCAGTACCAAAGAAGGATGGGAAGGTCAGAGTCTGTGTCGACTACCGGGATCTCAACCGGGCCAGTCCGAAAGACGACTTCCCTTTGCCGAATATACACATCCTGATTGACAATTGCGCCAAGCATGAGCTACAGTCATTCGTGGATTGCTTTGCTGGTTATCATCAGATCTGGATGGATGAGGAAGATGCTGAGAAAACGGCTTTCATTACGCCGTGGGGAGTGTATTGTTACAAGATGATGCCATTCGGCCTGAAGAATGCAAGGTCCACCTACATGAGGGCCATGACAACCATTTTCCATGGTATGATACACAAGGAGATAGAGGTGTATGTGGATAACGTTATCATCAAATCCAAGAAGGCCACTGACCACATAGAAGATCTGAGGAAGTTTTTCAATAGACTGCGGAGGTACAATCTAAAACAAAACCCCGCAAAGTGTGCATTTGGGGTTCCTACTGGGAAGTTTCTTGGGTTTATTGTGAGCCGCCGAGGAATAGAACTGGACCCATCGAAGGTCAAAGCCATTCAAGAATTACCACCGCCAAAGAACAAGAAAGATGTGATGAGTTTCCTGGGAAGGCTGAACTAAATCAGCCGATTCATAGTACAGTCTACAGTTATCTGTGAGCCAATCTTTAAAATGTTAAAGAAGGACGCCGCTACCAAATTGACCGATGACTGGCAAAAGTCCTTCGACAAAATCAAGGAGTACCTGTCAACACCACCAGTCTTAGTTCCGCCCGAGCTAGGTAGACCCTTATTACTCTACCTTGCAGTGTTAGACGGAGCTTTCGGCTGCATTTTGGGCCAGCATGATGAAACGGGGAGAAAGGAACAAGCCATTTATTATCTCAGCAAGAAGTTCACCCCGTACAAGGCCCGGTATTCTCTTTTAGAACACACCTGCTGTGCTTTGACTTGGGTAGCTCAGAAGCTGAGACATTACTTCTGTGCCTATACCACGTACCTCATATCAAGGATGGATCCTTTGACGTACATCTTT